TTTGAATATTCACTTGAGAAAAAAATTTTTCATTTCATTCATTTCATTGTAACTTCGAGGGCCCGTTACTTGGTAACGAAGGATTTTAGGAAAAAAAGTTATATGAAGTACTGGTGATATTTTGACCCCATCTATACATTCCCGAGAGGAAAAGAGGAAGTCCAGGGACACCCTGTATAAGAGAAAAGGTTAGAAGGAAGACACCAACAACTACAGGAATGTATGCTTACAAAGTCAACTAGCAAAAATAATCGATTATTTCTTCAATTTCCGTCTAAGAAATTTCTTGGAAAATAATAAATTATTGAAAAGATGTTAACATGAATTTCGGGCTGGAAAATCTACAGAATCAGCTATGAACGAATTATGCGATATGATTTATTCTAGCTTAAATACTAAGGAATATCCTATTGCACTATATTTTGATCTCAGTAGAGCATTCGATTCTGTAAATCATGAGCTTCTATTTGAAAAATTGAACCGTATTGGAGTTCGTGGAGTAACGAATAGATGGGGTTCTTCCAATTGACAAAATAGAATTCAGACTGTCATGATGAATTAATTAAAATCAAAGTCAACCAATGTTTCTATGAGTATACCACAAGGCTCAATACTTGGTCCACTGCTTTTTATCATATTTATTAATGGCATGATTTTATATGTGGTTCCCGCAATAAACCATATTTTATGCCGACGATACAAATCATATGATATCACAAGATAATCTGGACAAAATCATTCATCTGAGTAATGTATGCGCTGAGGAATTCTTTCAATGGTGCCTGAATAATGGATTCATTTTAAATGTTTCCAAAACATACTTCATGGTTTTTCGACAAAAAATATCAGCTCTGACGCAAGCCCTCTTGTTAAAATAAATCATAAGTCAATTGAGCAAGTATCAAACATAAAATTTCTGGGTATAACAATTGATGAGAAACTATCATGGAGAACCCATATCAATCATCTGGTAGAGAAATTGAGTATTATCAATTTTATTATCAGACAACTGAGACGACTGTATATACAGAAGTTCTCAGAATGGCATATCATGGTCTAGTGCTGTCGGCACTCACAATATGGCTTGATCTTCTGGGATAATTCAACACATATTGATAAAGTATTCATTGCTCAGAAGAAAATCATAAGATGCATGATGGGAGTTCGAAATAATGTATCTTGTAAAGTTTATTTCAAGTCATTGTCAATTCTAACTTTACCATCACTTTATATTTATCTTCTTATTATGAATATTAAAAAAGAACAACATACCTGTTCAAAAATCTGTTTTATAATCTACCAACATGAAAAGTAGTGAAATTCAGCAACACCAAACACGGAATGAAAATGACATTCGCTTACCATTTTCTAGGCTTAGTGTGGGACAGAATTCTCCAAAATACCAAGGACTTCTATGTTATAAGCGTTTCAATAAGATCTTTAGTGAGATAAAAAAATTTAATACCTTCAAATCAACATTATTCAATTACCTAAATGAAAATACTTTTTATACCTCACTGTTTGATGCTAATAGTAGTTTGTATGTATATAAGATTGTGAATTTTTCATATTCTCTTGTGAGTTCTATAATATTTTTATAAGTTTCACTAATATATGTTTTGACCAGTCTAATAAGTTTTGTACCATTGTGTAAAAAACTTTAACGATAAATGAATCATCTGTATCTGTATAAATAACTTTTTCCTTTCAATTAATATTTCAATATCATAACAATATGGATCAAAACCAAATGAAACTTTGCATCACAATCATAGAGGATGAATCCCTATTTCCAACAGTATCCGTTATTCAGCCTGTTCTCTAAATAGCTTTGACATATCAGAAGTCCCGTAATATTTGCCTATCATTGTTTTGTTTAAGCAGTTTCTCAGTTTTTCTTTCATATGTTTCCTTTATAAACTTTCTCTCCGTGTATTTCTTCAATATACTCATCTTGTTAATCCCTCGGTTGATTAAAGAGCTACATTTGGAGTTGATGATGCGTTTCTCACCCACTCAACAAACTCTTCGTTTTCTATAATTCCTTAGTATCCTTGCACCTAGAAGAGAGTCAATTGGTTCCTGTACGCCTATTATTTCAGCTCTTTGACTCGTCAATGTCATGAATGTAGCCTAAATGTAGGAACACTGATCTGATCATTTTGTTGCATAAGCAAGTAGGTAGCCTTAACGTTAATTTCTATTGGTATAATATACT